TGCTGCATTTAAAATTTTTGTTGAAACAGAGGGAGAGATTGATGGGTTCCTGGCGGACTTCGAGAGGCAGTGTGCCCTACACCAGGTACCCGCAGATGAATGGGTCACCATCCTCTCTGGGAAATTATCCGGCCGGGCTAGTGAAGCGTTTAGGGCCATCCCAGAGGAGATCACCAGCTACCGGGCTGTAAAGGATGCACTCCTAGCCAGGTATGCGGTGACCCCAGAAGCTTACAGACGGCGATTTAGAGAAACCAACAAGCAGGTTGGTGACTCTTATGTGGAGTGGGCCTGCAGAGTTCATCGTTCCGCAGCCCACTGGATGGCAGGATGCCAAGCGGTAACTGTGGAAGAGGTGCTACAAGTGTTCTTGCTGGAGCACTGCTTTGATAGACTACCTGCTGGGGTCCGGGAGTGGGTCAGAGATAGAAAACCCTCTACCCTACCCGAGGCTGCTCGTCTGCAGACGAATACACGGACGCCCGCATGTTGGATAGTACAGCTGCCAAAGTCCCTGCCAGACTGGAGTATCGACCAGCAGTAACACCAGCTCCTTCAGCCTACCAACCCCCAGTACACCGCACCCCAGCCGTACCGCCAGCTAATAACTATGTACAACCCTCTCGGTTCAATGCCAGGGACTATTCGCAACCAATCCGGTGCTTTGGGTGCAAACAGTTGGGGAACAAGCGACCGGAATGCCCTCTGAACAGCGCCAATCAGGCCCAGTCGTGGAGGAAACCAGCGGGAACCAGTGGCCACCTCAACCTGCAGCTCACTGTATTGAGCAGGAGGAGTTCTGGGGCATTCTACAGTGCAAGCAGCTCATCAGGATAATCGCCAGCAACATCGGCAAACTGTGAAGCTGAATGTCAGAGTGGTAAATGAGCTAAGAGACACAGGAGCCACTATGACACTGCTCCAAAAGAACTTGGTCTCGGAGCACCAGCACACTGGGGACACTGTGGCGGTGAGGGTAGAAGGGGGTGCCGTGTTCCGTTTACCTGTTGCCCGGGTACATTTGGATTGGGGAGTGGGCGCTAGACACGTGGATGTGGGGGTTATGAAAGACTTGCCCACTCCTTGGGAATGATTTTGCCCCGTTGGTTTCAGCCTATGCCCCGATGGGCCCTGCGGACGTTAACCCAGTGACTACTCGTGCCCAGACCCGTACTGCTGGAACCGGCCCACCTGCTGATGAGACCCAGGTAAGACCCTCTTCCCAGACTGGTACCTTAGATCAGGCCCCCTTAAGCTGGGATTCCCCAGAGGAGTTTTGGAGTGAAACCCGGGCAGACCCGACTCTCCAGAAATACCGAGATAGAGCAGATGCTGGAGAGGAAGGAGTGGATGGGGAGCGGTATGAGTGGGTGGGGGACAGGTTATATAGGATCCCTAAGCCTTCCCAGAAGAGTGTTGCCCCTCCGCCGAATTGACAGTTAGTGGTACCTGCAAAGTACCGGCAGGAGATTCTGCGGATAGGGCATGATGTTCCGTTAGCTGGACATCTAGGGTCCCGCCGCACAGCCTATAGGATCTCACAGAACTTCTTTTGGCCAAACGTTAACCAGGCTGTGCGGATGTATTGCAGTACGTGTGACACATGTCAACGGGTAGGAAAGCGGGGGGACCACCCTAAGGCTAGGCTATTATCAATGCCTATTATAGGGGAGCCCTTTGCCCGCATAGCTGTTGACATTGTGGGTCCACGGGCCAGGGCTAGTCCATCAGGTAAGAAATACGTTCTTACCGTGGTAGACTATGCCACACGCTATCCAGAGGCAGTAGTGCTGTCTAATATAGAGGCAGAGACGGTTGCTGATGCCCTGGTTAGAATTTTTACTAGGGTGGGGTTCCCTAAGGAGATCCTCTCTGACCAGGGATCCCAATTCACCGCTGTGCTCAACCAGCAGCTGTGGAAGCTGTGTGGCATTAAGCTGTTACTTAGCTCACCCTACCACCCACAGACTAACGGTCTCTGCGAGCGCTTTAACGGTACCCTGAAACAGATGCTGAGGACCTTTACAGATACTTGCAGAGACTGGTAGAGGTTCCTGCCTCATCTGTTATTTTCTTACAGATAGGTGCCCCAGGAATCCTCTGGGTTCTCCCCCTTTGAGCTGCTGTATGGGATAAGGGTCCGCGGAGGCCACTGGGAGGGGGAGACCGAGCAGGAGGGGACCCCATAGTGCCATATGTTCTGGAACTCCGGGACCGCATGGAGAAACTGTCCCTGATGGTAAGGGAGAATCACCAGGCGGCCCAGGGGAGACAGAAGAGATGGTACGATCAGGGTGCCCGACAGCGGGTCTTCCAGGTTGGGCAAAAGGTATTGGTGCTCAAACCTGTGAAGGCCAACAAGATGCAAGCATCTTGGCAGGGCCCGTACAAGGTAGTAGCGCAGATCTGCGATACTACTTACTTGATAGCCAGCTGTGCAGATGAGAGGGTCCAGCGATCCTTCCATGTGAACATGCTGAAAGAGTACCAGGAAAGACCTGAGAACATTGCAGCAGTATGTGCCCCAGTGTCAGGATTACTGTTTGATCCAGCACGTAGAACTGTACAGCACGAATGACAAATAAGTAACGTATTACCGGTCCTTAGAATGGCCGGATTTAACGTACAAAGAATAGTCAAAAATACTAGCCGAGGTCAGGGAACACAGAAAGGGACACAGTGATGAGGAAAGCCAGGAGTCAGGATACCAGAATATAGAGAAGTCAATAAACAAAGCCAAAGTCAAAACCAGGTAGAAAACTATAAACAGGAACGCGCTCTCAGACAACCACAAGGGAAACCACGACAGGGCACTGAGCAGGCTGAGAACTGGGCCTAAATACCCCTCCTTTAGTTCTGATAGGCTGTAACCGGCCTTTGACCCCAAAGTCAGTTACCAGGTTTCATTTGCATAATTGCTGCTCAGCATTAACCCTTCTGTGGATTAGGTTGCTGCTCGGCACAACTTTTCCTGTGTGGACAGTAAATGTCATTAATCACTTTTCTCTAAGCGGATGAATACATGACACCAGGTTTCATTTGCACAATTACTGCTCAGCATTAACCCTTCTGTGGATTAGGTTGCTGCTCGGCACAACTTTTCCTGTGTGGACAGTAAATGTCATTAACCACATTTCTATAAGCGGATGAATACGTGACACCCAGCTGCAGATGATTCTGAGAATCTACCCCTTCCAGATTTATTAGAAAGGGATTCCCAGACTGACCTTACTACCCTTGTACAGCCAGGGGACAGGTTGAGCCCAACAGAAAGGGTACAGGCGCAGCAGTTGTTGTGGGAGAAGCAGGCAACGTTCTCCCAGGAACCAGGTTATACCACCCTAGCTGTACATAAAGTAGAGACCCCTGGACAGACCCCCTTACGACAGCCCCTCTATCGTATCCCTGAAGCAGTCCGTGAAGGAATGCGGAAGGAGATACAGGAGATGACCCAGCTTGGGGTCATCGAGCACTCCGACAGCCCTTGGGCTTCACCTGTACAGGCGGCTCAATGAGCGGCTCAATGAGCGGACCACCACTGACGCCTACCCAATGTCCAGGGTAGACGAATTACTGGATCGTATTGCCTGGGGGCGCTATCTGAACCCCATAGACCTGTGTAAGGGCTACTGGCAGATCCCCCTGGCCAAGGAGGCTATCCCCAAATCGGCATTTGTCACCCCATTTGGCCTGTACCAATTCAAGGTCATGCCTTTTGGGATGAAAAATGCACCGGCTACCTTCCAACGTATGGTGGATAGACTCCTGGATGGCTTCCAAGAATTTGCCTGTGCATACTTGGACGACATTGCAATTTACATTGGGTCCTGGGAGGAACACCTGGTACATGTAGGGGTAGTGCTGGACAAAATTCGGGCCACTGGCCTGACATTGAAGCCAGAGAAGTGCCATCTAGGTATGGCTGAAGTACAGTACCTGGGTCACAGAGCGGGGTGTGGGAGCCAGAGACCAGAGCCAGCCAAGGTAGAGGCGGTGGCTAACTGGCCCACACCTACCACTAAGACCCAGGTATTGGCCTTTTTGGGGACGGCAGGGTACTACAGACGTTTTGTCCCTGACTACAGCACTATTGCTAAGCCCCTGACAGACCTGACGAAGAAGAATTTGCCTAAGCAGGTCCTGTGGTCTCCGGCTTGCGAAGCTGCGTTCCAGGCACTAAAACAGGCTCTTGTGAATGCCCCTGTCTTGGCTGCCCCAGTCCCTCACAAACACTTTCTCGTCCACACAGATGCTTCTATGTATGGACTGGGGGCTGTGCTGAGCCAAGTCGGGGAAGATGGAGGAGAGCACCCTGTCGCATATCTCAGCAGAAAGTTGTTACCCAGAGAAGTGAGTTATGCGGCAGTGGAGAAGGAGTTTGTATGGGCAAGAGTTTTCCCTGGTGACGGATCATAACCCACTCGTTTGGCTTAACCGGGTCTCAGGAGACAATGGGAGACTACTGAGATGGAGCTTGGCATTGCAGCCCTACAATTTTACCATCAGCTACAGACCCGGTAAGCTGAACGGGAATGCAGATGGGTTATCCCGACAAACTGACGTCTCCACCACCTCCTAGTCCGGTCATCCCCAAGTTGACCCGCCACAGGGTCAAGCTGGGTCTGCCGGAGTGTCCCACAAGGAGGGAGCCGTGTGACAGAACCATCTGCCTGTCTATTGTGGTGGATTCGTCTATTTCTGCCCCTTTCGTGTAAATGGCTGTTTCTATAGCCCAGCCATACGAATTACTGTTTTTTCCCGAACAAACCTACCGAACGGACGGCCACCCAAGAGAGAAGTGTGCTGCTGGTTAACCTATTGATCCCAATTAGAACGTTGTGGTTAACCACAGACACGTCTCAATTAATTCCCTTTGTGTGTCCAGTGTAACTGAGGTCTTAGCCCCCACCCGCTCTTGTATTATCACAAGTGTCTCTTATGGAGTACAGAGTCCCAAAGTCTCTTTATTTACTTGCCGCGTTCTACGGTGCTTGCTCCCTCTACCTGCGTCTGGGCACTTTTCGCCATGTTGGTGTGGACCCGCTGCAGTCCGTTGTTGTTGTTGTGGAGGTTGGTGGCAGTATTCCCCACTCCTGGAGAACTTTTAGGCCAGCTTCAGGGGTATGGATAGCAGTTATTGTACCTTCATGGGAGATGAGCAGCTTTACCAGGAATCCCCATCGGTATGGCTTCTTATGTTGCTGCAGTTGTTCTGTGATGGCCGCAAAGGTCTTTCTCTTCTTCAGTGTTGCGGCTGAAATGTCTGCGTAAATTGTTGTTCTCTGATGCGGCTCTGGGAGGGACTGGCATTGTCTGCTTGCTCTCATAATGTCCTCTTTAACGTGGAAATAGTGTAAGCGCACTAGCATGTCTCTCGGCGCGCATGAGCAGATCTTGAGGTAGGTCAGGCGCCAGGACTTTAAACACGCTCTGTAGGTGTGCATGGAGGTCTGCCGTGCTCACCGACTCTGCTATGCCCCTGATCCTGAGGTTATTGCGCCTTGATCTGTCCTCCATGTCTGCGATTTTATTTTCCAGGGTTTCCATGTTGTCATGCATCCCCTTCATGTCTGCTCGCAGTTCCTTGTATGCTTCAGTCTGGTCCGCCATTTGATCCTCCAGCGTTGAGGTTCTTGTGCCCAGATCCGGAATGTCTGCCCTGATTTCCTTTAGGGCTGATTGAAATGTGTGCTGTATTTTATTATGCATGCGATCCAACATACTTTGCAGGATCCCCTGGGTCACTGGCGCTTCCAACGACATAGTTCTTTGCATCTCGCTGGCGTTTTCCTCGGGGCCATCTTGCGCCTCTTCTAGCACGGCTGTGGGTTTGTTTTGAGCGTTTCAGACGTTGAAGAAGGTTCTTTTGTCGTTTTTGTCCGCCTGTCGCCTGCCCTTCTGCTGTTCCATCTTGTTGGTGAGTTGGTATGCGATTTTCGCTGTCAGGTGATCGTTCCGCTGATTTTTTAGGCCGCGGTAGCACAGAGCTACTCTAACATGTGGCTGCTCCAGTCGTGCTCCAGGCCACGCCCCCCCGTCACATACTTTTATGATCATATAAAACACGTGACCGAGCCTTTCTTACCTTCTGTCAACTTGTTTTTGACAATTTCTTACTGTGACGTATTTCTGCTATAAAACAGTAAAATACTGTAGAATATTTTGAGCTATAAAAATAATGATAATAACAATAATGGCTTTATGATGGTACTTTACTAAGACATGATTTACTTCCAGATATGTGTTCCCACTACCTTTATGAAGTGAAGCCAAACCCTGAATATCTAAGACACATTGCGCTAACGCTTCATTCAGACTCAGACTACAAGGGAACCAGTCTGGATCAAGATACTTGATTACAATGTATTTGCCTGTTTTGTGAAATAAAACTAAAAGGGCCTGACTGACAGTCTGACAACATGGTGTTCTCTCAGACCAACAACCTGAAATTTAGCCCATCTACAGGTTTTACAGTTTCTTTAGTTCAGTTTCTGAAGATTACTTGCACTTTTCTTTGTCCAAATTAGCCTTGAATTGCGTATAGTCATGAACAGAACAGTTCCGTTCTGCATTCTTTTAAGAGTCAAATGGAACTGGTCACTGAATGTGATACAAGATGTCTAAGAATAATCAGACTGACACATGCTTTGTGTAGGTTACATTTCTTACAAATGCAGTATAAATAATAACACAGTATCTACAGCTACATTTTAAAAGGACATCAGTCATTTAATGGAAACCCATTAAATCTTCCTGGTCAATGATCCACTTTTAGAACTTTGTCTCAGAATGCATGTCCTTTTGAAAAACTCGTTGCGAGGGTTGTTGGGGCAGTTGTTTGCATAGCTTTGCCTTGTCTTCTCTTGCCTAGGCCTTTCCTCCCTGACGGAGCCCCAGCTTCAATGAAGCAATAATGAAAATAGTTGTAGAACGCCTTGCACTTTATCTTGCTGGGGAAAATACACCTTTTGAACTGCCATCTGCAGAGTGTGTTGATGCACGGACTTGTTAACTGTGCCATGCTGTGAAGGAAATGGCATTGAGTTAGATCAAGTGCTCAGGACGGCTGCTCATAAGAAACAGTTGAACCAAGCTGTTGCTGCACAGGATGTGCCCCGGGGAGACGGCCTTCGTTTTGGGTCATGCTCTTGCCTTGTATGAGGCGAGCTGCAAAGCTCTAAAATCACAGAATTTGACTGGAGCTAAAGGGAGGGGGGAGAGGGACATTATGAAACCATAGAAGTGAAACTGTCAAATTAACTTCTCACCCTTTCAATCACACTCCAGAGGATAAAAGGCCTGAGCAGTTCTGTTCAGAAACAGGCTCAGTTTACACCAAACAAGTCATTCCTCTAATTTATCAACCTGGCTGACTATCAGTCCAAACTTACAAAAATCAGCTTTGGCCAGCTACTGCGAGATTCTTTCTCAGGACTTCCTCGCAGGCCCCGGAAGAGCGATCCCTCAAAGAAGATTTAAAATATGAAAGGTAACAGAACTTTGTCTCTCCTTCCACTCCCGCTGCATCAAGCAATGTGTGTAATCAGAAACATCAGTCAGACAATTAAAGATGAACTGTATGTTGTCTCAAAACTTAACCATGATTTGCACAACTGCTTCTAGAAAAGGTACAATAGTAAAGACAAATAGGAAATGGGGGCACACCCAAAACTTGCATTTTATAGGAATGGTGCTGCCACAGTGACTAAGATAAGATTCATACATAATACAGATTATGGAACAGCGCACACATGAAAACACATTTCTAAATGTTACAAGGCTACTTAAAATCACCCATCTCAGAAAACAAATACGGGGACTCAGTTCCACCATATGGCCATATTGTGTTAAGCCCCACACAGTACCCCAATATCGGTGGGTCCTACACCAATTACATCACAGTACCCCAATATCGGTGGGTCCTACTCTAATTACATCACAGTACCCCAATATCGGTGGGTCCTACACCAATTACATCACAGTACCCCAATATCGGTGGGTTCTACACCAATTATGTCACAGTACCCCAATATCGGTGGGTCCTACACTAATTACATCACAGTACCCCAATATCAGTGGGTCCTACACTAATTACATCACAGTACCCCAATATCGGTGGGTCCTATACCAATTACATCACAGTACCCCAATATTGGTGGCTCCTACACCAATTACATCACAGTACCCCAATATCGGTGGGTCCTACACTAATTACATCACAGTACCCCAATATCGGTGGGTCCTATACCAATTACATCACAGTACCCCAATATCGGTGGGTCCTACACCAATTACATCACAGTACCCCAATATCGGTGGGTCCTTCCAGGGGACGGCTGGCAGCCTTAGGCCTGGGGGGCAAATCCAGTCAAGTGGCCCATTGCACCAAGAGGAGAATAAAAACACCATTCCCATGTGATTGAAAGGGGGAGGAGGGGGAGTCACCTAAACAGACACTCAATTAAAAGCACACACACACTTGCTGATTTGGCACACACTAAAAAACATACACTTACTGACAGGTACACGCACACACAGAAAGACACACTGTTACAGGCATACTGACTCAGACAGACAGACATACTGACACACACACACACACACACACACACACAGGCATACAGGCTCACACACACAGACAAACTGGCTATGGGGGCAGGGGCTGAGGTAGGGGTCAGGGGCTGAGGTAGGGGACAGGGGCTGAGGAGGGGCAGGGGCTGACAAAGGGGACAGGGGCTGACTAAGGGGACTGAGGAGGGGGCACAGGGGCTGACTAAGGGGACAGGGGCTGAGGAGGGGGACAGGTGCTGACAAAGGACAGGGGCTGAGGAAGGGGACAGGGGCTGACTAAGGGGATGGGGCTGAGGAGGGGGGACAGGGGCTGACTAAGGGAACGGGGCTGAGGTAGTGGACATGGACTGAGGTAGTGGACAGGGGCTGATGAGGGGACAGGGCTGACTAAAGGGACAGGAGCTGAGGTATGGGACAGGGGCTGAGGTAGGGGACAGGACTGAGGAGGGGACAGGGGCTGACTAAGGGGACAGGGGCTAAGGAGGGATGCAAGGGCTGACTAAGGGGACAGGGCTGAGGAGGGGTGACAGGGCTGAGGTAGGGGACAGGGGCTAACTAAAGGACAGGGACTGAGGAGAGGACAGGGGCTGACTAAGGGGACAGGGGCTGAGGTAGGGGACAGGGGCTGAGGTAGAGGAGAGGGCTGAGGACAGCGGCTGAGGAGGGGGGACAGGAGCTGACTAAGGGGACAGGGGCTGACTAAGGGGACAGGGCTGAGGAGGGAAATAGAAAAAAATGAAAGTGTATTCCCCCCTCCCTGAGTCTTACCTTGGGCCAGGGAGTGATGGGCAGGAGCCAGGAGCAGCAGCCAGCAGTCAGTGAAGTTGGCCGGCCTCTCCTGATGATGTCAGGAGGAGGGGGCGTGACTTCCTCTGCTCTTCTCCCAGAAGCGGTCCTTGGAGAAGAGCAGTGAAAGTCCCCTCCTCCTGAAATCATCAGGAGAAGCCATCCGACTCCACTGGCTGCAGGGAGAGAGGTGAGTTGAAAAATCAACCTGTGACGAGACCAATCTCACCACTGTGCATTGGAGGAGCCTGGTTGCCCGCCTGCTGCCTTTAGACTATGGCCCCATGTTGAAACGCTTGATTTTCCCCTGCAAAGACATAAAAGCTGGGTCATTCGGTACTTGCCCTATTTGAACAGTGATACCCCAGATAGCTATGCCATGGTGCCCATTAATATAACGACAGACTATGTGAAAGACTTTGGCTCCATGGCAATTGAACTGTATGTGTGTGCTCTGAGCGCCATTCAGTAATAATGTGCGCTCAGATCTGAGCTATCTGGGGATATGTTGAATGTACCTGTTTTATGCAATAGCTGCACAGTTATATATTTTTATGTATTTTATTGTCTTTTGCTACCATGTGTTCAATGGAGTTTTGCCTCTGTCCTTGGAGATAATTGGATTACTTCCCAATTATCTCCAGGATAGAAAACTATGTGGAACTTGTTTTGGGCAGAAAAGCCATGCTTCATTTGGTCACAAAGGCATTCGATCTAACTTTTAACCCACTGGACCAATTTTGATTTTGACATATGTTTGTATTTGGAGTATGCTGATTCTGAAAATTTAAGTTTTATGTGAATGTGATATATACTTTTAAAGTTATGAATAATGTGGAAAAACTGTATTTCTCTGCTTGTGATAATTACATTAACCCATTGTGTAAGGTAATTGTATCACAGGCAGAGGGGAAGATTTTGTGTGGGAGTGTCTGAGTGTATTGTAAGTGTTTATTGGTTGTTTTACAAAACCCTGGGGGTGGTACTAATGTGTATATGAGAACAATAAACC